GATGTGAACACAACGAACTATACACTTATATTGTTCATAATATTACGCATATATATATATATATATATATATATATATATATATATATATATATATATATATATATATATATATATATATATATATATATATATATCACTATATAGGAAAGACAGTAGCTGAAGCCAGGGTATATATAAGGCACTGTTATGCTTGTAATTTCATCCATGCCTGAAGATGACTAAATACACTGTCGAATAAAACGTAGAAAATTAAAAATGCTTTCATTTCTTTAAATTATTTCATTACATAGAGGGTGTATAAAAAATTTGCCATGTTATTGTGCGTTAAGTATTGGGTATATGTAGATTTAATTTTCCCATCCTAATAAAGATTAGGCCTTTAACTATGGAATAAGATTTTTTTGTATCCGGCATTGCGTTAAAAACTGAACGATTTAAAATGGCCGATTTTTCAGCCACTGCATGTTTACAACGACCTGCATTTGCCCAAATGGTTGAAAATCTGATAATATTTTGTGGCAGCAGATGAAGAAAAATTTGTTTTCGACCGCTAATTTCAAGTCGTTCCTATTTGTCCATTTTTATTCGCCATGAAATGCCTTAAAATGATCTTAGAAAATATATATGAATGTTCCAAACTTTTGAAATTTACAAAATAAATAAACACATTACAGAGAGAATTTAAAAACCAGGAAACTTCTCACTTTCGAAAAAAATATACATGAGTATGAAATGATTTTAAAATGTTCATTTCTCCTCACAACGGCTTCTCATTCGTGGCATATCATGTAAGCTGGTGACAGGTGACGAAGGCTAAAATTATGAAAATAAGTCAACAGTCGAACATGTATAATATATCGAGCATCTGTTGTTTCCCTATCGGCAAGATGACTTCAAACATCAAACGTATCAGTACGAAAATAAATGCGACTGTTATACATCACCCAAGGACAATTTGACAAAATTTTTGTTAAATGTGGATAAAAAAATAGTGAATGAGAAAATATAGAAAACGTTTGTCTGTCTTTGCCGAACAGAGTAAAATTGAATGCGTAATAAGTCCATTGTATAATTTGTGCATGGTATACACTAAGTACATCCATTTAGTTCTGTAATAATTTCGGGGGGGGGGGGG